AATTTATACCTCCGGGAGCACCGCACATGGGTGGCGCCTGGGAGAGGTTAGTAAGATCGATTAAAATTGCGTTGACCGCTACGCTTAAGGAGAAGAGCCCACGAGAGGAGGTTCTACATACGTTACTTTTAGAAGCAGAGCATACGGTAAATTCCAGACCTCTGGTAACATTCAGTATGGATAGTCCTGAAGAGGGTTTGACACCCAATCATTTTCTTCTGGGACGCTCATGTGGTGATCGACCACCTGGATTATTTTTAGAGCGACATCTGACGGGTCAACTCAATTGGAAAGCTGCACAGAGGTTAGCCGACCATTTTTGGACAAGATGGCTGAAAGAATACATGCCTACGTTAATACCTCGAACAGGTGATAACGGCAAGTTCATGGAACCTAAAGAAGGCGATATTGTTTTGATAATAGATCATTCGTTGCCACGAAATACGTGGCCAAAAGGTAAAATTAGTAGAACGTTACCGGGACCAGACGGTCACACCAGAGTGGTTGACGTCATTACTAGCACAGGTATCTTGAGGAGACCTACATCCAGAATAATAGTCCTGGTACCCGCGACGCCTCCCAAATGATGGTGCTAACGCACGGGGGGGGGAGATTGTTGGCGACGCGCCTATAAAAATGTTTCAGTTTATTAAATCAACCGATGACGTTGCTATGAAAAAAGGGGCAGTCACGAGCAACGACGCTCTGATAAGAGAATGCTTAGTTAAATCTTTAAGAAATGTCGAATTAATGATATGAAGGTCTTGGGTTCGACTCCCAGGCCGGACTAGTTTGTTTGTTTTCCTAAGTAATATCGCTTAATAAATTCGTAAGGAATTTAAGATATAAATTATGTTACCGGATTTGTTCCCCGGTTGAAATCATCTTTCAAATGATGTAAATTCATAAGAATATTAAAGTGAAGTTAAAGATCGGATTTGTTCCCCGGTCGAGATAATCACTCTGTGCATAGGCAGAATTAATGGATATTAATTGCATAAATGTTGTTTTGTATAAGTTTGATACGTTTTGTACGAAAACAAATGCCTATTTGTTATGATTGATTAATGAGAACATTCATTTATATTGTTATCTGATTAAAGATAGTTTCATACAGTTCGAGAATTGTATAAAAGCATTTAATTTGCCTAATATGGTCAAAATTAGTGTATATCAGACTTCCATTTTTTCTGATAGCCGAGAGCCGTGCAAAAGTTAGTTGTTCAAATAGTGTGAGTTCATAGACGCACGCCAAGCCACGCCCTTAGGAGGCCGAATATGTAAAAAGTTAAAATGTTTGTAATTCAGTGATTTATGTAAAAATTACTTGTAAAATATTTCAGGTTAATTGTACGTGCTAAAAAAGGTAAATTCTGTGTTATTTTCATGTGAAAATTCCTGTGTATAAGTGAAATAATGATAGTTTTGTATAAGAAATTTAAAAGTGTTTTAAATAGTGAAATAAATAGAAAAAATGTAAATTAAACTATTGTATTGGTTAGCTTATATATAAATTCAAGTGAGAAACATTGTTTTAACTTTCTGTGTTAAATATTTAAGAAATTTCGATTTCGAACTTGTGAGTAAAATAGGCAGTTTTCGTTTAATAAATAAAAGGTTTTTTATGATATGAGGATATGATGTATATCATGGTGTAGATATTGTTTTGTACTACCTATATTGATAAATTGTATTTGTATATGATTTGAATAAATAAAGATATTGAGTGAAACGTGAGAGAGTAATAGTACAAATTCATGTAATTAAGTTGCGCAAGCGCGCAGATGGCGCGGCTCACTTTCGCGTATAGCTCTGGGGTAGCTTAGTGAACGGGTTTTATTGCAATTCGTTCGGGGAAGTTCGGAAAAGTTCGGGAATCCTTCGGGGAAGTTCGGAAATAGTTCGGAAATAAATAAGAAAATCCGGGAAAAAGTTCAAGAAAAGTGAAAAACCAGCAGTATAGGGAAAAGTGATTACTCTCTCACGGAACGGTTTGAAGATAATTGCTGTTTCATTCCCAAGATCCTTTAAGTTATACAGTCCACATCGAAGAATTAAGGCGTCGGGACCGGGACGACTTCGGAAGACCCGTAATCCCCGTCTGAACCTACTTGCTGAAAAGGAAGAGGTTATCGCCCTAGTGTGTTACTCCGTTGCGGAGATCACATACGTTGTTCCCGAACCCAACGTAGGCGTGATAGGAGGCCGGATCGAGAGAAGCCTCGATTCCTGTTTCTTAGTACCCGATCCGCTAGGTCCTTTTCAATTGGTCCTTTTCAGGATCAAGAGGGACGCCCGAACCTGAGTTCCTTTTCAGGTACCAAGACTATTAGGGATATTGATTTTTCCTTCCACTTCAGAAATCTTTCCATCTACAATGTCAAGTAATAATTTTAAATATTCTTCTGCTTTTGAATCTTGTCGTAAATGAAAACGCATATCAATTCTTGATGAAATTGTTTTAACTTTAGGCCATAAAAATGAAGATTTTGAGCACGCTTGGACTTCGTTTGCGCATGTCCCGCGTGGTATGACAGGTGTTTGTCTAAAGTCCCCGGCTAATAAATCTGTAATTCTACCCATAAATCTATTGCAACTCCTTACATCCTGAATTGTTCTATCTAGAGCCTCTACACCTTTTATATGTATTTTTGAGCTGCCCGATTCACTTCGGGATGATTATCGGAATAGCTTTTAGCTGCAGCTTTTATTTGCTTTCTACGAATATTGTTTGTGCATATCTTTCTGTTTTTTTTTTAACTTTACTACCGGAAACACTTACGTGAAATCCTTCATTCAATGTCCATTAAAACGCAACCTTGAAACAATTGGAAATATTTCTCCAGCTGCTTTAATTTCGCAGGTTGTGCCATAAGTATGCAAGCTACTCATACATATCAGCTTACATATCAGCTAGATAAAGGCGTTTCGTACCATAAGGGGTACCTTAGATCAGTCCGTTATAGAAAATCCAGATCATTGCCAATGGATTGTCACGTGGCTTACTATATTTGTTCGAACTTGAGCAGCCGCTGAAATATTGCCATAGAGCAAATAAGACAAAGATGAAAATTAACACGCCCCATCGCCATGTATTTCTACCACTCTGTATGGGATTTGTAATCCTTCGACGACGACTGTTTTAATTTCTTCGTCCATTTTTTCATTCAAACGTAAGTTTAATCAACGAACAAAAATAAAACAAATTTTACTAAATAATTGAAATGAAACTTTGAAATAACTTTGAAAAGTACCTAAATTAATAAGTCTTTTAATATTCATTAGGTGTCAGAACTTCTAAAAGAAATTTCAAATCTATATTTAAATGCACATAAATAATAATCGACAGTAATCAGTGAAAGTAAACATTAATTAAGTGGCATAAATAATATGTGGTAGAGCCATGCTGCAGTTATATTAGATGTATAGTTGTAGCACGAATGGGTCGGCTCGACCGGGGAAGGACCACGCTCTCATAGAATACCAGCGTGAGATAGTAGCTTAAGGCTGCTGTGTTTAATATAGTGAGTGTAGAGAACCGGAAACCCTTTTTACTGGAAACGAGGCATTCCATCTTAGTCCTCACGGGTGACAACGCATCTGCATTTTGATTCGTAATTGAGGATAGATGTAGATGTCTATGGGCCACAGCAACCACTTACCATCAGGTGGACTGTGTGCTTGTTTGTCACCCTATCCTATAAAAAAAAGCGAAATATATATATATATATATATATATATATATATAAATATAAATATTATATATATATATATATATATATATATATATATACCAAGCTAATATAAGCGTGATGAAGTAAATAAGTAAACAGAAAACTATGTGCGAAATAAGGCAGAATTTTTTTATTACGAGTAGCACGGTGGGAATTTACCATCTGCGATCTGCGACATATTGTCTGTGCAATCATTCCTAACAATTACACTTACAGAAGTTACGAACTAACAACGCTAGAATTTTTATTGTTTACAAGAGAGGGGGATATACTAATGTATCGTATGTAGGACACACAACAGCGGTTTTATTGTGAGTAGTCCTTAAAATATTTTATCGCTACTTAATTCGTTGGCTATCACAATTTATGAATGTATACCGGTATATTCACAGGTTTGGTATGTATACGAATATGTTTATTCTTCAAAGACAACATGGACCGTTTATAAACTTAGTACCCGGGTGACCTTTGCTCGGTTTTTTTAACTGAACTGGTTATTTGAATAAAAAATCGTGAATGCAATTAAATTAAAATTAAAAAATTTAATTAAAATTTTCGTATTTTTGAAAAATACTAAAAAAAGGGCTCGAAATAATAGATTTTTTCACAAAAGAAGAAAACTTGAAAAAAAAGGAAAAAAAATCGGACCGAAGATAGGACGCGAACCAAGGCATTACGACTTTGTGACCGCTCGATATCCACTTGAGCTACTACGATCATTAACACAATGTCAAAATTTACCTTCTTATATTGTAGCAGTTTGTCATTGCCTGAAAACACGGATAAAAAGACATTTTCATTTTAAAAGTAAATCCTAGCTAGATCGATTTCTTGCCCCCAAAACTCCCCTGGACACTAAATTTTATCAAAATCGTTGGAGCCGTTTCCGAGATTCTGATTATATATATATATATATATATATATATATATATATATATATATATATATATATATATATATATATATATATATATATATATATATGAATCTATCGGACTTCCAAATAAATGTTTGACGATGTTCTAGTTTACAAAGCAAAAGAGAGCTTTGCCTTTTATAGCCTAAACATCCGTCTGGATAGATACCACCAATTTCGACCACCACAGACAGAGCAGCACCTGTGTTCGGAATAGGAAACCATTATAAGTTCAACCCATGAAGGAACGCGGTTTAAAAATTAATACAGATGTGATTGATCCAGTAGCAACTCACCATAAGGTACATGGCGGGATGGTTTCTTACTATGTTATAGGAACTGTCACTTACCTCGTGAGTAGTAATGTCGCGAGTAGGTAGAAAACGGAGGGATGTACACCACATTCGCATTCCGTTTGTGGCGTCGCTGTTTGAGCCTCCATGCCTGCGCCCAGCTTATGATAGGCGATGTACGCTCTCGCCGGACTGCCGTGGGGAGCAATTTTCGTGGCGTTAAACTGCTGACGCCGACACTGAATCTGCTCATCTGGTCGCTGAGGAGACCCTGCTCCTCACCTGAAATATACATAATATATGTAACTATACATTTTTATTATTGATTTAATAAAAAAATACTATCGAAGGAAGTGAGCGTCTTTTGTTGTATGGGGTTATACCACCAATTCCTAAAAGTATTGAATAAAACTAATCTTGTCAATTTTATCGCTGTACAATTATTTACCGACGTTTCGGGCGCTTTACAGCACTAATGGGCACGGGGGTCTAGTGCTTAACCTTCTGGTATATTTACCGAATGCATATTGATTTTAGGGACGCTAAATGATTGAAAGCATTATGGAAAAAGTTCACTTTGTATTTGCGTTAGTTTGCTTGCTGTTTCTTTTTCCTTTATGGCGGTAGTGAGTTCGTCATCATCCTGCGACAATCAGCTTTTGACGTAATTGTCTTCGTAGTTTTGTGGATTAGTTATAAATGCCACGCTTTACAATTGCTTTGCGTTTCCAATACCAAATACGTCAAACTTTTTTTTTTTCATTGAAGAAATATTTACTACGCACCAGAAAAGTCACAGACTTTCTCGGTTGCAATTTGTTGTGTTGTATTGTGTGTGTTTGCACCTTTTTTATGGCACAATGTAAGTAATGAGCCCATGCCCGTGCCACAAAAAAGGTACAATG